CCATGGCAGCTAAAAAAGGGGTGAGTCAAACCACAAATATTTCATTGTTTCTCTACCACATGAAGCTGCTGAAAAAAGCTCAGGATTATTTATTTCCTAACATGACAAAAAGTTAGTATCATGAATTTTCCTTCACATTCCCTCTTCTGTGAGTTATCAGCTTAAAGCTGAGGACGCACTTTAACCACGTTTTCCTACTGATGCAGCTCGGTGCAAAGAAAGGTCTCGGTGCCCAGAAGGTGAGCAATAAGAGTTTCTCAGAGGTGGAGAAGCAGGCACAAGTGGCTGAGAAGCTGAGAGAGGAGCAGGCCGTGGAGGCTCAGAAACAAGCCGAGGAATCCATGTAAGAATAAGAGAAAGAATACTCTCCCTTATTTTCATTCATCTAGTTTTTTTTAATGCTAAGCCGTTTTATTCTTTCCAGCCACACACCTCTATGTTTTACCTTAATAAAGTAGCTTTGCTTGAGTCACACACAGCCAGCAGTAAATGGAAAAACAAGCTGAATCAGTGTTCACAGCACGCTGCATACTCGTTATTTAAAACTTTGGCCTTGTTTTATGAACATCCACCACAGTAAAAGGCAAAATAAGAAAAGCATGTAATAAAAATTAAGTCAAATGAATGAATGTTTAAGATGGATCTTTTGTACGTTTTTCCCAATAAAAAAAAAAAAATCTAATGTTTAAAATTCTGTTCTGACGGCTGCAGCGTTGCCTCGATGCGTTTGGCCTACAAAGAGCTGGAAATTGACAGAAAGATGGAGGAAAAGAAGCTCCAGAATCTGCAAGGCAAGAAAAAAGAGCAGGCTGAGAGACTGGGCATGGGTTTCGGCAACAGGAGGTAAACACATTTTTCATTTCAGTTTCAGAATTTAGCTGAAGATTCTCGACATATAGGATGCAAGAAAAATGCAATATAGTGTAGCTTATAGCAGCAGATAAGAGTCCATCTGGGAAAGAAGGATTACCACTTGAAAATGTTCATGTGAAAGACCACCTTATAAAGTGCTTCCAGAGGAAATGATGAGGGACAAAATCCTCGCTGCTTGTTATGTGAAAAATCTGAACGTTATTTGAAACAACTATGTGCCCTGAGACTTATTAATTTGGCCTTAATGTGGATTCTTTTGTGATGTTTGGTGCAGTTTTCTTGTTTTTTTGGGGCTTTTTTTTCAGCAGGATTTGAATATCGCTAACAAGTTGATTAGTTCATATTTGCACATCTTAATGTTTAAGTGAAATGTGTGTTTAAGATTATACAGTATATGCACATAAGGCAGCCTTTTTTTTTGGTAATGTGCTGGAAAAGCTTGAAAATGGACCTTGAAAGTTCTTGAATTGAATTTGAACCTTGATAATAGTTTTTGCTCATAACACAGGAAGCTAACGCAGAATAGAGGAATGCCAATTGTTTGTTAGGTCTGTAAATGTGAGCATTTATTTCCTGTTGCAGTGCCGTGTCACATTCAGTTATGTCAGAGATGCAGGTCATCGAGCAGGAAACGCCCGTGGGAGCAAAGTCCTCTTCTCGCTCCAAATTGGAAATGTTTGATGAGCCTGGTTTCACCTCTGGACCTCCAAAGTACGCACAGAACCCACTTATGTATCATGGATTCATTATCTACCACAGAACATAGAGAGAACTGAGTGCACTCCCTTAATAACCCACTGTGTTTTGCATCTTAGATACAAAGACAACCCATTTACAGTGGGAGACAGTTTTGGATCCCGTTGGGATACTGAAGGAGGAACTGCCTCTTTCACCACCTCCTGGGCACTGGAGAAAGATGACCCCAAGGAGGAGGTCACCATCTCTAGTATCCAACCAACTGGAGAGCGGTACACACATATTCACTTGCCAAATACATACATGTCCTTTAGCTTCTGTCTAAAGCTCTCAGCTCTGACGCACGTTCTCAATGCTTAAACTCAGACTCCCCAGCAGAAGAAAAGCCGACGTCTCAGCTTCAGTTTCCGAGTCAAGTGAGGCCAGGCAGAAGTTTGCCAATGCAAAGGCCATCTCCTCAGACATGTTCTTTGGTCGGGAGAGTAGTGCTGAGGTGAGAACCTTCTCGTCTTCATTTCACTATAAAACAGTTCAAATCTAGGGCCTCTGTAGGCTTGTAATTAACATGTCACCTGTCATCTGTTTACTATGTTCTGTTCTTACCTCATGGTTGACCTTTGTTTCATCTTTCTCTCAGTATGATGCAAAGACGAGGCTGGAGAGCATGTCTGGAAGCACTTCCATCAGTTCAGCTGACCTGTTTGGAGATGGCAGTGACCACAAAGGTAAACGTTAACCAGCAGTTCTTATAATGTCAAGGTTCATTTACTCCTCAGCGCTCATCTGCACTTTTGAGCTTCCTCTTCTAACTTGTGTTTACAAAACTATATATTACTCTACGTGAAAATAGGGGAAATAACTAATGATTCAATGCAGAGTGGTGTGTACTCTCATAGAAAGCAAAGAAACACTTAGTGGTTCATGGGAATCCCTCAGCAGCCTGCACCTATTGCAGCATAACTAAGGGAGGATTCAGGGTCACCTGGTCCAGCCCTAACTATATGCTTTAGCAAAAAGGAAAGTTTGAAGCCTAATCTTGAAAGTAGAGATAGTGTCTGTCTCCTGAATCCAAACTGGAAGCTGGTTCCACAGAAGAGGGGCCTGAAAACTGAAGGCTCTGCCTCCCATTCTACTTTTAAATACTCTAGGAACAACAAGTAGGCCTGCAGAGCGAGAGCGGGGTGCTCTAATAGGGTGATATGGTACTATGTAATTATTTATTTATTATTTATGGGATTCAGATTTTAATCTGGATTTAACAGGGAGCCACTATATGGGAGAAATCAAATCAAAATATCACATATGGACTCGACAGTCTCAAACCCCACTGACACTGGATTATTGTGTTAAATCTGCAGACAGGGTCTGTATCCTACACCTTTGGGGAAGGTACAACTACCTCATTGGCAAATGCGATACGTGTGTTTGGCAGTAATGTTGATTAGATCAAGGCTGATACCTTGGTATGAGATATTATCCTTTATGCTTAAAGAAGAGGCTTCGCACATGAGTGCACGAGTACAAATGCAGACAATGTCAGTGTGGATGAAAGCTGTGCTATTCTGCTTTAGTCCCAAATAGACAGCTGATTCTCACTGAAGATGTTAAACCTTCATTCTATCCCCTCAGCCTCCTTGTAGATGCACATTTGGTACAAATTCGTTCTTCAGAAAGCTTGACCTCTGACGTCAAGGTCACTGATTTTCGGTGGATGCACCTGTGGTGTGAATTCAAAAGTCTTGGCTCACCTCATTTTCAAGTTACTGTGATGCTGCCTCAGGCTGAGTGGTAAAAATGATATATGATGACCTCCAAAAAGTTAGTGAATAACAAGAGTGGGATTTCTAACTTGAGCCACGGATTGCTGCATGTAGAGGTGACGTGGCCTACGGTGTTTTCAGCAGAATCACTGCCGTGTGAAACCAGCCTAACTGATTTGGATGTGTGAAAAAGTCCCGTCTGATTAGACTTCTCTGCTCCTCTCAGGAAGAGCCTCAGGCTTTGACAGCGTGCTTCCCTCTGGCTCGGACATCGCTCAGTTCAAACAGGGAGTCAAGACCGTTGCGGGAAAGATGGCTGTCCTCGCCAATGGTGTCATGAACACGATCCAGGTGAGACTGGTCCACGAGACAGCTGCTTTATTTCACTTGAATCCTTAAGTTTGCTCATACTTCTCCTTGTTTTTGTGTTTATTCCCTCCTCAGGACCGCTACGGCTCCTACTGAGCAGCATCGACCGGTGGACTAACACCTGTGTGGAGCCAGACAGCCTCTTGACTGACACGTGCATTTGGACCGAGAAGATGGGACGAGACATGGACAACAGAAAGTATTGCATGGGAAAAGAAATGTCCGTCACGTCCGTCCTCCATTATTGACAGTTTGAGACAGTGTTTTCTTCTCTCATTCTCATTAGCAGACTCTTTAAGTTTCCATGAGCAAAGCCGAGCGTCACAGGTTGTATTCTTTTCTAAACCAGAGTTTTGTTGTAATTTACTGTTTGGAATACTTTGGTCTTAGATTTTCAAAATGATGCCAGAGTTCATTCTGCTTTGTTTTATTCCTTTGCAGAAGTTGTTTATTTCCATTCATATAATCAAATATGTCATGCTAGTTTTTGTTTTATTGTGAGATTTAAAAAAGAGGCAGTATATATTTTAGTGTTATTTGAACAACAATCGCAAACAGTGCTGCTCACTTACTGTGGCACTTGTCCACAGTTTGTTTTCTTCGTAAAGCACTGACTGATTTTCAACTCTTTGAGAGGAATTATGCGTTTCTGTCTGCGTGAAACATGGAAGCATCACATTTTTGATGTGCAAGTTGCTATGGTTACATGCTGTGTTTGAATTAGATTGTGCAGCAGTAAATCCATCATTCCCTATAACAAACTTCCAGCGTGCAATACTGGGAATTAGGGAGGGTTAAATCCAACTCCAATAGGCACTGCAGACAGAATATGCTGTCCCAGCTCAAAACTATAATACTGTATTGACTATGCATCTCCACTCTGCCACCTTCAGCTGTGTTTCACTTGTTTTTGCTTGTTGAACCTGGAGTCTGCCTTGATTTACCCTCAGTGTTTTGATTTTTGGAAAGCTTGTATCTTTTAAGTTCACATATTCAGTTTTAAATAGAAAAATGATCCTCGAGTATTTAACTCGAGGCGAGGAATTCTCTCTAAATTTCACTGCCATGTACAATGCAGTTAAATACAGTGAACTTGAACCGTGAAGATTCACCGCGCTTGTTCGTATCCCATCTTGTCTCGTGTGTTCAGGGCAGACTTTACGTTCAACAAGTTTTGGAAATTGGATAAAATTCGAAAGTAGTTTTTTTTTTTTTTTTCCCCCTCTGTCATGCATCAAAGTGTAATTTTGATCACCCCGTGTGTGCGCCCTTCCCATGGTAAAAATGTGGGGCGATAGGATGAAACATTCAAAGCTATTTATTTGTAGGTTACAAAAAGAAACAGTTAATAAAGATCAAAAACCTCTGCTTTGTTTTCACTGACGTCAACTTTCTCACAAACACCCAAACCTGTGGTTGCTGCCGTACTAGATTTTACTCTGTGCAACATTCACACATTTTTATATAAAAGCAGACTTGAAATGAAAATGATCCAAAAGTGGGAAAAAAGTGGGGACGCCCCACAGATTTTAATGCAAAGAAATTGAAGTCAGCCTATTTCAGTCCAGCAACTCAAACTGTGCTGCAGGCTGTAAACATGCAGTTTGGACTGGACAGCCTGGTTCTGCTGTTGGTGTCTTCCAGTTAAAACTGAGTACTTCCTTCCTCACCCAACACTTTCTCATAGGGAGCTGTGTGATTGAACTGTCTAACATTGTAGGTGCTTCAGTATCAAACACTCTCAGGTGAGTTGGTGCTATATAAATAAACCTGAATTAAAGTGAACTGGTTCTGGTACAAGTGATTTAGCTCCCATCTTCCAGCCCTGGAGGTTGTTTGGTGGGAACATGATTACTGTGGATATGAATCCATTCTATTTGTGGAAAATCTGAAGAATGACCAGAACAGACGTCTGTTGTTCAATGCAAGGTTTATGCTGTTGTATTACAAGCTCTAAGCCTTATAATAGTTTCTAAACTACTGTTGCTTCAGCTCATCCTTAGCGTACGTAAGTGTTTGTTAGCCGACTGTTACTATTAATCACACAGTTTGATTCAAATGTTATAAATAATCAAATTTCATCACTGTTCAACTGATATCTATCCATGTAATTTATCATCCACATTTCACCTAATTACAACAGGGTTGACTTTTTTTTGCTTTCCACAAAAAGAAAAACCTGCTGAATTTATCATCTGTGGTTTTCTTCCAAAGTGTTGCTTCAGTGTTTGTTTTTAAATCTAAAAGGTAAAAAAAAAAAAGCTGGAATAATTCAGATTTGGGATTTTAATGTTGATAAGAAAAAAAGAAAAAGACCACAAGAAACAGGAAAAAATGCAGCTAACCTCAGACTAACCTGCCAGTCGGTTATTCAACTGTAATTTTGAGCATTTGGAAATCTATAAATTACCAAAAAGCAAGAACAATAATAACAAATTATATTTGTGCATGCAGACTGTCAGCAAATGAGAGCAATTGTGTTGAGTTCATGTATTATGAAGACATGCTTTGCTTTAACCTGTATAACGTGTAGGCTCACTGTATTTACATGGGTCCACCTTCCTCTCTGCAGCGAGCTGCTGAAATACATCATCTGTTATTGACAGATAAAGCAGTGCAATGATGGGCGGAGTTCACAAAGAGATTCTGCTATAAATCAGGCTCATAGTGTGTCTACACTGCAAAGATTTAGGACATATTTTGTGTACCAAAAAACTTGCTGAGCGCTGGGATTTTAATTATAACTGTAATGATTTCATTTTTGTCCCTCACTGCAGGCCAGTCATTTCCAATCATTTTATCTGATTTCTGAGGAATTATTGCAAGAGTCTGTGTCTCTGTTCCATCCTGGCAACTGATGGGTCCTTTGTGCAGTTTCTCCAGCTGATTAGCAAACGTCAAAGATCCGAGTGCAGGTTTTAGCCCCAGTTGTAGAAGTAGATCTTCTGCCAGGTGGGGAGATAACCCATCAGAGGACCTGAACACAGAGACAACACAATCAAACCCAGCACTAATAGTTCATGAAATCATGTATCATATGGTGGAACAACAGTGCCAAAAAAACAAGAAAAGAAAAAGATCTCTCTCCATGTATCCATATATGTGTACATGTATATATGCAGGAATGAGTGTGTTGCTACAAAAATGCAGAGAAAAGGACAATTAACAATGGAAGAGAGACAGACCATCATAATTCTTAGGTCTGTAGGTCTGTCCGACAGAGAAACTGCAAAGAAAGTCAAGGTGTCAGTGAGTCCAGTTTCCTCCTCCTGCACTCAGAAACAAACTGACAGGAAGTGCAGACCCAAAGACACGACTGGATCAGAGGACACGTTTCTGTGTGATCGGCGGCTCACAGCACAACAGCTTCATCGCAGCTTAACAGAGGTCGTAGTAAGAAAGGCTCAGTCTCAACTGTGAAGAGAAGACTTTGAGCTGCAGGTTTGACAGGACGAGTTGCAGCAATATAATTAAAAAAAATACATTTAAAAACAGGCCTGGGAGCGCGAGGGACTGCGCTCCTCTGGACTCTTTCTTAATAATAAACTCTGCCTGTGATAAGTAATGTGACGGTACGTTTTAGAAAAAGAAAAAAAACAAATAAAAGTGAATTATCATATCATATGTATAACGCTGTAATAATGTATCGCAGGTATCACCTGTGATTGGCCTACCTGTGAAAAGTAACATCTCATAAAACTTTACAGTATTAGAAACAAAACTGAGGACAACCTCTAAAGAAAGCAGCTGAAAGAAGAAAACATATATATATGATAATGTGATTACAGTGGTTTTTGAGAGAAGATGGTATTAGAGATAAAGTCAGATGGATCATCTGTGGCAACCTCTAAATGGAGAAGCCGAGAGAATAAGATAGATATGATAATGCAGTTTCAGTGGATGTTACTGGATTTTTAGTGTCGATGCACATTCACGTGACTTTCAAATGAAGTGGATTCTCCCACATGTTAACTCAAGGTTCATACACCTTTTTCAGGGTCAAATTCAAGCACTGTTTAAGCACTTTCAAGGTCCATTTTCAAGCTTTTCCAGCACACTTCATATAAACTTAAAACACACATTTCACTTAAAAATTAATATGTGCAAATGTGAAGTTCATTCATTCAAAACTAACTGTGAGATGTTTGACTACATTGCTCTCTGGATTATTGTTACAGTCCTAAATGATCAGCTTTAAAGTGTTTGTGCTAATAACACCATGTACAGTAAGACAGGCATGGAGAACAGCACTGACGGGAGGCTTTGAACAGATGACACACTCAGTTCAATTCAACATATAAGACTTTAAGAACGCACAAACATCGACCTAAAATCTATTTATTCAGTCCATCACCTGTCATAGAATTATGTCAAATAATAATGTATTGTTCATCTCCCTTAAATAAACAGGCAGCCTTGAAATATGAAATATTCATATACAAAAAACACATATACATGTGTCTGTCGTCTCCGTAGCTGATAGAGCCCCACAGGCCTCAGTGTGAGCTTGAAGCCATTCATAATGTTTAAGTTGTTTAATGTGTCGGTGCTCACGATAAACAGACTTTGAATGAAAGCCGAGGAACTGCCCATATGGATCAGTCTGTCATATTGCTATTATTCCCCCTAAGCTGTTGCCAAAGACACCAAGTTAATAAAATCTAAGCATTTTCAAGGATTTCAAGCACCCGTACGAACCCTCTAAACTCATTTCGTCTGTTTCAAATTAAAGAAATCATTTCACCTGATTATTTTAGGCAATTTCAGGTGACAATGTCTCATTTCTCTCTCACACGCACAAATGTTTACAGTACGCATTACGAAGTAGAACTCTGAAATGCATTCAATTTTCAAAAGCTGCTATTTTTTAAAGTCACAATTTAAGTTGTTCTACAAACAGCTTTAAGACGTCTAAATTCTCGACCGTTACAGCAACGCAAGGCAACACCGTGCATGAAGAATGAGCACACGGTTCTACTTACGTGCCACAAGCCCGACTCCTGGAACATGATCAGCCAAAAGTCTGAGCAGGAACAGAATCTTTTCCCTGCACATGAAGGAGTAAAAAGTAACACTGTTAAGAGTGAAGGAACAAGAATTACAATACTGTGCAAAAGTCACCAGCCACTCCTTTTATTTGGGGAGGTGGGTGGCTTCAGGAAGGTACTGACAGGCTTCCTGCTCCTGTAGATGAAACACGAAGCAAACCATCGTCTAGTATGTACCACCAGCTCCAGTTTAGGACATCTGTCACCTGTATTTGTCTGATACATCCTTAGTGCAGGGGGAGGGAGGCCCCTATACATCCGGGCCTTGTAATGAACTAGGTCACCCAACTGCAGCTCACCCAGCCCAAAGCCCCACTAAACCAGGCCGGCAGGACCCATCAGGCCCCACCCATCCCCCAGCTACAACACCCCCACCATCCATCACCGCCTCAACGCCCTGTAACGCCCAATACAAAGCCTTGATACAAGCGATACCCCTTCATTGCATGCCATCCCCAATGAAGACGCCAGGAGGGGTACACGCACCAAAATCCACCCTTAAATGCCACAGAGGACCAGACAGGACAGACACAGTAGGAGTGAAAAAGGAAAAGAGAGGGCCGACAGCACAGAGCCAACCACCAGGATCTCCCCACGCCAGTCTTGCCCCAATGCCTCAATTCCATCTAACCTGCACCCTCTCGTCCCAGCCTACACGACCAGCACCAAGAGGAGGTCATAGCCCACACAGGCCCAGAGGACCCACCCACGGTCCCCCAGAGCAGCAGAAACCATTGGGAGGTTTCTTTACATTTAGGAAACCTTCCTGAAACGGTATAACCTCTGGATTCTGCCGTTCAAACGAGCTTGAAGGTTAATATTTGGTATGACCAAATTTATTTTTCAACACAGCCTCAACTTTCTTCGTTTTTAGGTTCTTCTTGATGAACGTTCCAAAGGTTTTCTTTGGACTTCTTTTTGTTAAATGATTCTGCTTACAAACAAACAAAACAGCTCATGTCTAAAGACATTTTTCGTAAGACTTTTAAAAAGCATAAATAACCATTAGTCTAGACTTTTGCACAGTACTATTTTCTACAGATTGTACAATTATTTATGTCATCCTAATTTTAACACTTTTCAGAAGACGATATAAAACCGCTGAAAACACCACTTAACCACAGATACTTACTCAGAGTATTTGTCATAGAAGGGGGAACGCAGAAGGTAGTAGAACAACAGAAAGGCTCTCCTCCTCATCTCGGCCCTCTCCCATCGATTTTGAAATTTGATGTCGCTGAGCGCAGCGAAGCTGGAAGAAACAGGACAAGCAGCTGAAACGACTTCACGATCTCCTCTAACACTTCGATGCCTCACAGCACACATCCTGAGCTGCTGCTTCATGTTTGTAACTCATTGTTTACTTGTCTGGATGATTGTCCCTCCTGCAACAGCTACTGTGACATCCAGACTGTTCTTCACATTTCCCTGTGATTTTGTTATAAAACAAGTAAAATGCTCATTTATTACAAATTAAAACCGATGGATGAAATTATTTATTCTAATTAAGACCAGTCCTGCTGTGACTTGTATGCAGTGTTGGTCAAGTTACTTGAAAAAAGTAATCAGTAACTAATTACTGATTACTTCCCCCAAAAGTAATCCCATTACTTTACTGATTACTTATTTTCAAAAGTAATTAATTACTTAGTTACTTTTTAAAAACACGATTTACAACCTGAAGAGGTGATAAAGTGATAGATCTTTCAGCCCAGTTCTACTTTTTCTACATAATCCATCATACAAAATGTAATCAAATGGAAAAGTCTCTTTTTTAAAACTTGTTTTATTAGTTTTAATCTTTTAACTTTATGCATCAAGCAAACATTTAATTATCTGCAACATTCTCTGACTGGAAGAAATTAGTTTAACATTTAAACCTATTTTCTGCACATTCCAGCACATAAAATAAAATATTTTGTGTGTTTACACTCAGTCTTTCAAATAGATGCAAGTAAAACACAGCAGAAAATAAATAAAGTCAAAGACTCAGCGGTCCTGTTGCTCTATTTTCACCTGCATAGCAAGCGGAGGTTTACCCTGGTGCAGGTGTGCCGCGGTCAGTGGAAGAATCCGCGAGTTTCTCTGTGAGTTTCCCATTACGTCGTAGCTACTCGGTGCTTGTTGGAAGTTTAGGGGTTTTTCGCGGACGCTAATGTTTTTGTCACTTTTTATGGAATCAAACTCAAAGTAAGGTCAGTACTTCCACGCTTTAAACGCTGCACGCTCATACTCTCTCCCACAATCGATATGTGATCCATTGTTGATCTGCACACAGCTGTTGTCACCAACGTCGCACTCGCTTACGTCACTGTCGTGAGACATTCTCGCAAAAAATCACGGTTTTAGTAACGCAGTAACGCAGCGTTCCTACGGGAAAGTAACGGTAATCTAATTACCGTTTTTGCAATAGTAATCCCTTACTTTACTCGTTACTTGAAAAAGTAATCGGATTACAGTAACGCGTTACTGCCCATCTCTGCTTGTATGTGGCACAATATAAAAGGTGGATGTATGTGTATTTGGGTACTACGCAGATTGTTTGTTTGGTTATTGTCCTGTCTCAACTCCATCCTCCACCCGCACACATTTTCCTTCCAAGATAATAATTAATAAGTTCTTATTTGATAATGAAGTAGCCAACTGGAGGACTGCAAAAGAGGAACTCGCTTACCTGGATAGTTCAAGGACTCCAGAGATAAGCCATGGCTTCCAAGACTGTTTTCCAAAGAGTCCAAGGCAGAGTACTGCAGTTGGGAAGAACTGATTTAAGGAAAATTATAATAACTTCCCACAAGAGCAAAGTGCAGCCATCTGTAAATGGATATTTATATGAGGCCAGAAAGTCTGAAAACCTTGACCTGTTCCAGGACTAAGTACTTAACTGCTTCAGACTGATTCTCACTGCTTATAAGAAGCACACTCTGGCTCGCAGTCTGCCATCTAGAGGTGACGGTGATATTGCAGCTTTCCGATCCACAGTGTATTTCTGTCAAAGCTGTGGTGGTTTCACAGCAAAGTGTCATTTTAAAAATGTTTTGAACTGTTTATTACTGACATGACAAATATGAATGGACATGAAGGATGTATAAAAACGTTTTCCACTGTTGAAAAAACAGAAATGTTCAAAGGCTAAGAGGGAAAGATGGCATTTGTGATTTTAAATAAATAACACTGGTCCACACAGAGGATGCTACAAAATATGTTTGCTTTTAATCTTCTCAAAAATATTATTAATGCAGTGCAGTTAAAATATCTGCTCTTACTCCAACTGTAAACTTCACACTGAACTTTCTTGTTCGAGTGTCACCAGTGGTGTGTTTGTCCTGAGGTACACGCTTTGGCTGTAAACGTCATCCCCACCTCGTTAACTGTTCACCTGCCTCAACGTAAGAACAGCAAACATCCCACTGAAAGCACAAAGTCCAGCTGAACAGAATCAAGCTTCTGGGATTTCTTTACCTGGATGATTGAGCGCGTTTAAGAAATATCAGGAATAACAGAACTTTTGTTTAAACAGGTATGGCAACACAGAGAGAGGAAGGTAAGGATACAGTGCGCCAGGGGTCGTCCGATGTACACAGACTCAGCAATTGTCTCTTGGAGCCCCAGAGGTGTTGGTTGGCTGTTGAGTGTTTCCTTTAAGCTGCTCCTTTGCTTTTTGTGACTCTGTGCTCCCCAGAGCCGGGTCTGCAGCGAGGGAGCTGCCACATCACCAACACGGGACAGATCACGCACAAAAAGCACAGAGTTAGAGGTGCATCTTTATTCCCCCTCCTGACACTCGCTCTACAACATTTGCGGATTTTCCTGTCTAACAGCAAAGTAAAAAAATTAATGAACAATGTCTATTACTTTAATCTACAGGACAGAATGAAGTTCATTAAAGGTTTTAACATGAAGACATTTGGTCACTTTTTTGTTTCAGTTACAAATTCAAATCAACATTTTTGAAAACAAGCAGCAAACAAAAGAAGAAAAAACTTTGTTTCTTTTTTTCTTTTTACAGTTTACCACAAAAAAGTTCAGGAATACTTCACATAGCATTGTATAAGTGTTTACTGCTAAAACAGCTGACTATCTATGAACAGGTAATGCAATCAGCCAGTTTTGTAAACCCCTTAAATTAGAGCTGAAAGTCAGCAATTCAATCAGATCTTGAGGACATATTCTCGAGAAGACTTGTGGGGCTAAATACAATAACCCAAGTTCTGTCTGAATTTATAAGAATTTAAAGTCTGCCTACACGACTTCACCACCCCATACATCACATTGATATATAGCAGAAAACTGGCCAGACAACAGAAGAAGCTGAATCACAGTCGTTTATATGCACGGTGAAGATGTTGAAGGAAAATTCTAAATGAAATAAACATCAACATCTGGGACAGATAGAGGGGAACAACATGGAATGGATAAAGCATAGTGCAATTTAAGAACCCTGCTCTTAAATCAAGTGAGGAGGTGATATGAGCTAACAAAGAAGCTTAAGGACAACCTGGTGTTAGTTGGCATTAAGAGATTTCTCAGAAGCCGGCCTTTGTTCAGACAGAAACTGGATATTTTCAAATACCACACCAGCTGAGTACCACAGGATTTGGTTTTAGGCTTAATTGTCAGGCAGCTTGAATCTTAAGAGGTTAAAATGTTTTAAAGAGTTTAAACCAAACTTACCACTGCCGAGCGGCCTAATGACTCGTCCTGACCTCTGGCCCACAAAGCAGGTGTCTTCCTGCTGCTCTGTGTTACTTTCATCTATGGAGAAAAGCGTTAATTTAGCCTTCACGCACAAATCACAGAGCGGGAAGTGAGAAATGTCATTCGTTTGTGTGCTTTAAGGAAGGATTCATTACTTTTGAGGGAGTCTCTGAGCTTTAGCATACAAGAAGCGCTGCTAGCACGTGTTTACTTTATCAGGCTCTTGCCTTTATTTACTTATTTAGCCCAAGTTACTCAGTTAGTTTCAGCAACTGGGCTAAAATGCTTCCCTGCAGCTCACAATAGAAATGCTAACAGTCAAATGTGACAGGATTCTGGAGCCATTATGAATTCACATCTGATTTTACATTCTTCAATTCAAAACAAAACGTCTCACAGTCATTGAAGGTGCAGGCCATTTTATAAAAGACAACTGACCTTCACCAGCAAAGTCTCCACCTCTGTCAAGGGGGATTATGGGAGGTGAAGTCTGGATGCCAGATTTGTACCACAGAAGAAGCACAATCCGAAAAACTGCCCTGTGAAGGAGTCACATAAGATGTCTGTTCTCAGTCATCCAGGTCACGGTAGTCTAAGGAGCTCGGAAAGAAAAGCGACTGGACTCATTAAAAGTTTCTTGAAGATTTTTCACCGCTCATCTGAGAAGCTTCTTGAAATGTCTTCACTTTAAGAAGTCCAGTCGCTTTTCTTTCCGAGCTCCTCAGAAGTCACATAAAAAGCATTTAAAAACTATTCACAACTTAAGGATTTAAAAAAATAACAATTAGAACCTTCAAAATCTGGAAACAAAAATCACAAATAAATCTAGAGAAAACTTCAAAGAGCACTTTGAAAAGCGTAGTCTTCCACCGAGTCACTCCCAGCTACTCACTACAAGGCCAAAAATATGTGGACACGCAATGAATGCTAAGGTTCTTTTAAATTCATGATGCCAAATTTAAAACCAGTCTTTGTGGAGTCCTTTGACAGCTACACTGTCATGTTGAAACAACCACAAAGATGGAACACCATTTGTCTAACACAGACTATATTTTGTGCCTATGCATTAAAGCAATAGGCACAGAAGGAAAGCTATTGTCCTCCTTTTGAACATGTACAGTAATTTTTACTTTTCCATTTTCCAAAAAAATAACTTAAAATGTAGCCTGTGCAAAATCAGTATCAGTGTTTTATAATTTCAAATTAAAGTCAAGTTTCCAAGCCATACTTAAAAATCTGAATAAGTCCAATGACAAGCCATCGTCCAACTTCACCCCACAGCTTACAGGCCCCCATCTCCAGGAAGACCTCCACATACTCCAGCACAGACAGCCACGTCAGGAGCCTCTGTTGAGAGATGGACTAGAAACACCACAACACAAAGGATGGACGACTTATTAGATGAAAAAGGATGAAACCCTCACTTCTTCCCAGAACAACATCCTGTGCACAGTTTCTGAAGTCTTTGTATAGTTTCTTTACTGAAGGAAACCGTACAGTAAAAGATGGATGCAGCCATGGTGATGTTAGCCATTGGTTTCTCAGCCCATCTATTTGAGCCTCAGTGTTAGTGTTTTGGTTGCTGCAATGTTAGTTTTAAAAACCAGAAGTTAACATATTTGGAAAACAGGGTGGAGTGCTACGTCCTCGGCTCACACTAGCAATGGTTACCAAGCTGCATTCTGAAAGCCGTACAGAAGGAACAGGCAGGCACACTGCTACTCATCACAAGCCAAGCTTCTTGGATGAGCTTTAGCACAATTTAATCACCCGACTATAGTGTTTATGAAGGGAGTACAAAAGTATAAAGACCAAAAACTACTTTGTACCAATCTGGTTTACTGATCATTTGGAGCCTTTGGAATCAGCCTTAAGCAGCTACAGCTGGATATTCAGATGAGAAGGCCTGGCTCACAGTCTCCGCTCTAATTTATCCCAAAGGTGAGGTCAGGACTCTGTGCAGGCCAGTCAAGTTCTTCCACACCAAACTCACTCATCCATGTCTTTATGGACCTTGCTTTGTGCACCGGTGCGCAGTCATGTTAAAACAGGAAGGGGCCATCCCCAAACTGTTCCCACAAAGCTGGGAGCATGAAAATGTCCAAAATGTCTCGGTATGCTGAAGCATTAAGAGTTCCTTTTAATGAAACTAAGGCGCTGAGTGCTTAAAAACACCCGCACACCATAATCCCCCCTCCACCAAACTTTACACTCGGCACAGTCCATCAGACTGCCACCGCTCTAGTGTCCAGTGGCAGCGAGCTTTAAACCACAGAATTCAATGGCCTGGATGGGTAAGTGAATACTTTAGCAGTACAGTGTATTTGTCCTATTGTGCTCTGGTAAATCCTATAGGGTCACTAAAACTATAAAAACTGATCATGGTAACAATAGACTAAGACCATAAGTTTTTTTTAAGCATCTCTTTAGAATTTCTAGTTTTTATTGCTGCACCACAAAGGACAGCCATTTCAATTTCACTGCACTCTTCTGCAAAGAGAGTAAATGCTTTTCTTTTCTACTGTACTGTGAGAACTGGTTTTAGTTTGAATGAAAGCAGAGCTCACCACAGGGAAGGTACATCTCAGCCCTTTGCGCAGAATGTGGTCATTGAATAGCACCAGGAGATTGGAGGCAGAGTACACTACAAAGGTAAAAAATGACGATGAAAATATTTGAATAGTACACACCTATATACAGTATGTTCATTTGTGGACACATAATGCTTAGAAAACTGAACAGAATGCATAGTGATAATATAACCTGTAAAGTTTCCTCACCGCTCAATGTTAACATCAAATTATAGTCCATTATTATTCTCAAGTAAGTATCCTGTAATATAATTAATCTGCAAACCATTTATGTCCATTATGTAACTGAGGAAAAAAATATTTCAAAAAGTTTTATAATGCTAAAAATAAATAGATGTTTATTTTGTTTCGTATAATGTTTTGGCGCACAGGCTGGGAGAGGGTCACCATTCTCCAATCAATGTAAAACAGGACATAATCTGGGATTTGAGAGAACATGATGTCTCTCCGGAGATCTCTGAGCCTTCTGGCTTTTCAGAATTTATGTATTCATTCATATTTCTTCATTCACATGGCAAACTCCTACTAATATATAAGGCGTTGATGCAAGAAAGAACTAACTAGTCTCTGTGTTGGTCCTTAACATCTACTTACCTAGTTCAGATATTTCATGGGAATCTGTAAATCTCCCTGCAAAATACAAACAAAGAAAACATGCCGTCATTCATTTTGCACTGCACGAGCACTTGTAGCTAGTGTTGCCGAGCTAAAGTGAAACTAACAAGAGATCTGGAGAGTTCACCTCCCAAAAAACAATCATAAATCCAGTTGAGCTTTTGCATTACTTCTAAACAGAGAACCCTAATCCCAACACACTGTATAAACCTGCTGCTGCGACTGACCTGCGAGCAGGTAAGAGAGAGTGCGCACGGTACTCTCCAGCTGCGCGGTGGCAGCTGGGTTTCTCCTCACATACTCGGTGTAGCGTTCATAAATGCGCGTCACTTTGTCCAGATACTCCTTAACGTGAGACATTTCAGCTTTCTCTGAAAGACACACTCTGCATTTAACCGCTGTGCTCACAACAGACCAGCTAATCTACTTGTGTGACTTCTTACTCCTATATTCCAAAAGTATATCGTAAACGTCCGCTTCTTCTTCTTCTTCTTCTTCCGCCTGCCATTGCTTTTGGCAAACAGCGAAACGGTGCATTACTCCCACCAACCGGTACGGAGTGTGGACCGAAAAGTAAATGTCTTTCAATATGATCCAGATCAGAGGATTTAACCATCACTGTACCGAGGAGGAGGTTTTGGAGTTGAACTTGTCAGCACCTGACACTCCTGTTAGTGTAATGTAAGATGTTCAACAGTTTCTTCGTCTCCACAGTAATTACTTTTTCCTGTACTGCGTTTCCATGTCATAAATAATGTTCTGTTTAAACTAGTGTGCCCACGTCTGAGTCTAATATGACCATCCTCTCCTGCTCCTTCCTGTTTCTTATTTTTCATAGATTTTCTTTGAACACATGAAAGGCAGTCCTGTTCGTTTAATAATCCTCATCGGTGGATGTCGCATAAAAAGTTAGGACGCGTGCCAAAGTCAGAGGTTAAAAGTGGGACTGTGTTTTTTGTTTTGGGGGGTTTGCCACAACACCAGAATGACTGCAGGTGTCCCTAAGTTGCGGTTGTGGTACTTCAGCATGTACCTCTAGTGAAGAGGAGCATAAAGGGAGTGAGATTTTTTTAAGTGGCAGGTAATTTCAAATATAGCATTTCTATCAGCTCAACAAAAATCAGCCAACACACAAACTGTTTGTGTGACGTTTGTCTCACAGGTCCAGCTGCTGCATCTCACAGGGAGAGAGAAAAAAGAGAGCCAACTTCACTCAGAGATGGAGAAAGCTAGGAAAGACAGGACAAGACGGGAAGAAGAGAGGTCAGATCTAAAGGTAAGGACTGATAAGTGATGTTTGATGAACTGGAAATTTGAAGCTTAAAGAACAGTGTGTGACTGGTGCACAGTAGCCGTGGGTTCATGGTCAGAGTTAGGTTAGATCAAGTCAGTAGCGGTTTTTGATACGGGCGACACGGGCGGTTGCCCGGGGCGGCATCACGGGCATCAGCAAAAAAAAAAAAATTGCTGGTACTCATGCTGCCCCGACGTCAGCCAGCGCATACTGGGAATGGTACAGGCACCGAGCGGTTTTCTATCGCCCATTTGCTGGGAGTAAGGGCGCCCACCGTTTGCGAGGTGCGCCTGCTGCTTGCGGCGCAGGGAGGAGAGGGCGGGGCGGCGGGGAGCAGCATCTAATAACCAACTCGCAAAATAAAACAAAATAAAAACAAACCAACAAACACGAAAACACCAGACATCATGATACAGACTTATTATTTGCACCGATGTTTTTTTCGAAATTCTATACACGAAAAGTGAGCGCGAGAGTCCTCGGTGCGCCTGCTCACTGCTGAAGTCAAAATAAACTTTATTGTCATCTCCGCTACATACAGTCCAGTATATAGAGAGACGAGATGACGAGGCTCCAGTTACAGCAGTGCAAGTAAACAAACAATAAATATAAGAAAAGTAAGAAAATAAAAATACACTTTAGGATTAGGGGTAAAGGGAGTGTTCGCCCAGGGCGCCAAACAGGCCAGGACCGCCCTGGATCAAGTGTAGCAGAGATTCAAATGAATTTTAGCTGATGATCCACTGACTGAATTCCACCTTCATAAAACTTTATACCATTTAGAAAAAAGACTGCATAAACAAGATACTGTCAGTGTAGAGGATGGAAATCAGCCAGGACAACTCGTGAAACACCTGCTAACACCTTGTTGAATTAATTTGTGTAAATCCACAAAGAGCAGCAGGTCATTTGATCACAGCCTAAGAAAATATACTGGAGCTCTCAATAGAAGTTATTGTGTTATTATACTTTTCCCCACATTGAGCCATTACAGCCAATTTTAGGGTTCCTCCACCTGCTGAATCCCACTTTAACCCCTGACTGTACCCTGTTTAAAGGCAACGTCACCCTCTACAATGTAGAGTCTACAATGTAGGCAACAAAAACTAGATATATATTTTTTATTTTCTTTCTTTTTTTCAGATTCTGTTTAACTATAGAATCTCGGTACTTTTCCACTGAGATTTAAAACCACATTCCAAGAAATCATTTTTAAAAAAATTTCCAGCTCGTGCCCATATAACTTAAGCTTGATTGATCATCAACTTTTCCTTAAAAGTTCTAGGATGCTGCTCTGTTCTAGGATGCCCTCTGGACCCAGTGGAGGTGGTGAGTGACAGGGGAATGGCGGCTAAGCTGTCATCCCTGTTGGACAACATCTCCCACCCCATGCAAGAGACTCTGACAGCACTGAGCAGCTCCTTCAGTGGGAGACTGCGGCACCCACGGTGTGGGACGGAGAGATTTCGCAGGTCTTTCCTCCCCACTGCTGTCAGACTCCACAACAAAGACTTTTGCAGCTGATCAAACCCTCACATGTGCAATAAGACTGCTATATGTGCAATTCTTGTACAATTCTTCTTCTGACGAAGTTGTACTTTTGTATTTTCTTACTCAGTTGTATATAGCATTTGTATTTCTATTTTATTCTATTGTATATAGTATTTTATTTTATTGCATTGCATTCCAGTGTCTTAAACAAACACACACACACACACACACACACACACACACACACACACACACACACACACACACACACACACACACACACACAGAACAAAAACAAAAAACATTGAGTGTACCATCATTTATGTCCGCCAGCTCTCAGGTTCAAACACTTTGGTTCCTATTCCTACCGTCGTTTATACGGGTTCTTCTTCCGGGCACGTTATTGTTGCATCAGCATCCAGCCTTTGATTACTGTGACAATGTCGGCTTCGGGTGATCCGGGTACAGTAAATAATATATGGTGTTTACTTTATGGGTTCGTTAGTTGAAAAACCGCATAAAGCTATGACAGCACAACCTAACGCATTTTGATGAAGTGTCACAGCGAATATGCTAACGCTCAGGCTAGCTAATATGTAGAGCTGTGTCCCAAAGTCTGCAGTTGAGCCGCTTAGCTAAAGGAAACACTGTCAATGAGTGACAAGCCGAATTTCATATAAAAAAATACAGCTTAAACTAATACTTAATACCTCGGCATAAACACAGGGCAGCAAATACTATTTAGCAATTTGTCTGCGTTTAAAAAAGGTAGCCTCATCTTCGGCTCATTTGTCCAGTCAAACAGGATGTTATGAAGTAACTACAGTTTATTCTCTTTTATTTGTTTATAGTGTTTTAGTGAACCTATTCCTGTGTGATGTGTGGGGTGTTTTTGTTGAACTGTGGTTTGTTTAAGTCTATGTTCGGGTTTAAGTTCCATCTTCTTTCGTGTCATCTTTAAGAAAATTATTAGCATCCGACAGTATCGCCTTTTTGTTTGATATTTTTACAAAGGTTTATGGAAAGCATTGAAATTATTGTTATTATTACTACTACTACTAGTAGTAGTAGTAGTATAACTTAGCCTGTTATGAGAAACACTGTTAACGTTTTCAAGTGCTTACTGTGATTTTTACTCTCAGGTCAGTAATTTAAATTTTATACAGCACAACAATGAAATAAAACAGTCGAGGTGTGATTAAAGTGCAGACTTTCAGCTTCAAGTTAAGAAGGAAATGAACCTAAAATAACTAAGAAATTGCTTATTAGTACGTTCCTAATTTACCTTTAAATCAGTGAAACCTGACCCTTTAAAACATTGGTAACATTAACAGTTTTACCAATATTTGCTGTATTTATTTTCAGCCCCTTGATTGATATAAAATGTGTTCCTGTCCAAATACTTGTTGACCTGCAGTTAGAATTACAGCTCAAATAGTAACACAGTATGAAAATCACGGGTTGCTTCTATAAGACATGTAACCTGCACCCTTAATTACATTTTTTTCTCCATCTTTTGCTTTCTCCTGTTTCCACTCAGTGCTTGCACCTCTTTTGTTTTCTTATACATATATAAGGTTCTCTGTGAGTGGCTAAAGGCCAGTGTTATTCAGCATTAGTTCTGCTAGGCTATGTTTGGGTAGAGAGTAGTTTCATTTAACTCACTCATAAGTGCAGTTTACTTTGGACGTGTGCTGACTTTCCAACTGATCGAGTAATTCTTGGCTCTGACCAAAGTCATTAGTCTCATTGGTTATTCCACTGTCCAGTGGAGTAAGGTGGTAATTCTTTGCGAACATTTGCCCTCTTGTTTCTGCAGCCTTTGAGTATGGCTTCTTGCTACAGATAAGTGAGGAGGCTGCACTGACAGTGGCCCTGAATGACTACCTAACCTCACGCAGCTACCTGGCTGGGTTCAGCCCCACCCAGGTCGACCAGAAAGCCTTTAAGCTCCTCCACAGACCCCCAGATCCACAACATGTCCACGCTCTGCGCTGGTACAGACACATAGCAGCCCTGCAACAGGACCTCAACCCAGAAAGCAGCAGTGAGTAGAAAGCTGAAGGCATGAACAGGCTAGATGTGGTCCTGCGCCTGCTGGCCGTGGATGTGGAGGCACTCTGAGGCTGTGACGTGCCCTCTTAAACAAACTGACTCTCAGCATGAACTAAGGCTTCCTTTGCAGGCACTGGAATGAACTCTGTTTTAGCTTGCACTTTTGATGTCAGTCATAGCAACTTGATGTGTGTGGTACCTGCAGCTAAGCGCTGAGGAGACTCGCGTTATCGCTGTGTAAACACGGCAGCAACAGCTGGTGAAGAACCCCACAGGCAAATACTCTTTGTTCCCATACCTGGCTAAATAGCTTAATATTAATAAGGACAACTTTACAAAAAATGTAAAACATCATGAAAAGAAAGAGTAACTGATGATAGAACACAGAAATGTTTATTTATTAATCTAAACGATGTGTAAGAGCGTACTTGGTTACGTGGCTGATGTGAGTGGGAGTGAAACTCTTATTAAAAAAGCCAGTAAATAGTACATTTGACCTATTACGCTCACTTTCATCGCTGTATTTTTATCCGGGGACTCCAGTGTGTTGTTTTGCTCATCTGATGCTGTGCCAGTCTCGGATGTCTAGATTTCCTTCATTTCTTTCACCTTCACTTTCCATTTAACTCTGCTGTGTTACTGGAAAATTCCATTCTTCTTTACAAGGACACAGTAGACATGATAG